GGGTCCCAGCGCTGTTCAGCACAGCTGGCCTTGCCAGGATGTCTGTCCTTCCTTCCCCGTCCCCTTTTTCCTTCCCCTTCCCCCGTTTTCCTTCCCCGTTTTCCTTCCCCCTTCCCCGTTTTCCTTCCCCCTTCCCCGTTTTCCTTCCCCCTTCCCCGTTTTCCTTCCCCCTTCCCTTTTTCCTTCCCCGTCCCCTTTTTCCTTCCCCTTCTGGGCTCTGCCAGCCCAAGGCAGGGCTGGGGTCAAGGCAGAACACTTTTGAAAAGAAAGCCAAACTTTGATCCAACCACTGTGTGCTTCTGTTCTGTCTGGGGATACCTAAATGAACTCAGGAGGAAAAAAAACCTTCTTGCTGTGTGCATCTCCCTCCTTCAGCTCTGCCATTTTTATATAAATGAGCTGAAGATTTTGGGTAGAATTTTCTAACTTTGGAGAGCTTGCTGCSTTTAACCTTAAGGCCTTTTCTACTYTRGAGATTTATGTCTCCTRAGCCATTGCCAGTTGTCTTTTCCTTTTCCTTTAGATGTTTTTTTTTACGTTGTTGTCTAGTTTGTACTTTGCCCAGAGTTAAAGAAAACAATGCAATGTTGAGTTACAAAGGTGAAGAGAGTTTCTGTTCCTGTTTCTGTACGTTTTACCTTCTTGCAGCCTTCTCTTGTGGTTTACTTACATTTCCACACACAAGATAATGTATTTTTTGAGAAGTCTGTGCATTTCTGTAATCAGCTTGATCTTTCAGAAGCATGTCTCTTACCTCTCCATTTCTGAAAATGTTTATGGATTTCTACTCTGGTTTTCTTGATACTCTTCTGCTTACTTAATTCCTTCCAGTTTTAATTTTTAAAAGTCTGGGAGCTGGAATAGGAGATGAAGAATGATACTAAACCCTTTGTTGTTGTTTTGTGAGCYTGCAGCAGTCTCAGCCAAGGACAAGAGTGTTTTTTTATCACGTGTTTTTACCTGTTCATCTCATGTGCAGTTTACAGCACCTTATCAGCAGCTGCTTGGAAAGGCACAGCAAATTTGTGTTGTGTGGTGACCCTGCAAATTTGATTAGTACTGATTAGATTTTGAGCTTTATTAGAGCTTCTGTGCTGTTGACAGCTGCTACTCAGTAAAGGGGTGTGGAGACAGAGACTTTAATATGAGAGTAGTTCCTTGTCCCACAGAAAAATCTGCCTTTCTTATTTATTTATTTATTTATTTATTTTTTTAATTTGGAAAAGTAACTGATATCTTGGTGGAGCAGTGACCTAAGGTCTAATTCCATGAGTCCCATGAGTGCTGTAACCCAGTGAGCTACTGGCTGTTTTAGGGGAGAAAGGAGCTGTAAGGGGATGGTGTTGGAAGTACTTGAGCTTCTTTGTGGCTTCCTGGAGCTGGGAGATGTTTAAGACAAAAGCTTGAAAAGTGCAGCATGATTACAGAAAGCTCCAGGTTTGAGAAATCTGGCTTTTCCAGAGAGAGGGGATGTTGTCAGGAAAAATTGCAGCAAAYTCAGCTGCCATTTACTACTTGGCAGTCCATGTTGTTCTGGGAGTCTGTGTTTCAGGTCTCCTGTTTCTTCCATAAATTATAAACAGGTCTTCTCTTAAATACATGGYCATTACTGATTTTTTTAATTGTGCTTTGACATGGTATCAGTTTTTGAGAGGCACCTTGGTTCAGTTGAAGCTGCTGTGTGATAGTAACCTGTGTCCCTGTTGGATTCATTCTCSTGAATTGTTTTCCTGCTGAAAATGAGCTCTGATAGCTGATGTTTACTGTTAGCCTGAAAAGTGGGGGTGTTTTAGGGCCGTAAAAGCGTTCAGTGATGGCAATGTGCTGCCCTTGGAGAGCAGAAGGTGACTAAAGCTGGTTGTGTTCAGTGGCACTGAGTCACGTTGAGGGATTCAGGAGTGCCCTGGCTCTCACCGTGACTCGGTCACTGCTTTTCATCCTTCTGGAAATGACTCAGGCTCAACTTCACCATTCCAAACCCAAACACTTCCTGATACCTGAGCCAGCTCTCGCTCAAGGTGATGGAGTTTTTTAGTGACTTACGTGCCAGTTTGAACATCTCTGCAATGTTTTATTTAAGGATTGTCACAGTGGTTGTACTCAAATGCCWCCAGTTCTTCCCTCACTGTCTCCARTTCACTCAACCATTCATTGTGTCACGGCTTCTGCATCTTGCACTATTTTGCCTTCACTTATTTCACCACACCTGCTTGCAGATTCAATTTCTCTTAAGCTACGAGTGCATCTGGTGGAAATATAAAGTTTATTGAGTCCATTGAATGTTGCAGTGTGTTAGCACTGAGTTATCGTGGAGTTGTGAAACCAAACTGAAGGGAGGTGTACAATGCAAAATGCTCGGTCTGCAAAGCAAATATGCAGTGGATTGGTATCAAGAAATGTCATGATATCCCTAGAATTGTTCTGCAATTTAATATGATTTGGATTCCTGTGTTTAAAAAACCAAAACAGAACAAAATTATGAAAAAAACATGCTTGTCTTGAATTTGGTTATATGACTTGGATTAAAGTGGGTGTCTTGTGTGTGTTGATGGTGCTYTTTTATGCACGGGTGTTCAATACCAAGATCAGCTGTTTTTAAATGTTGGCTCAATGAAATKAAATCACTGCTGAATGGATGATGCACAGGTGGTGACATAATCCTGAAGTCAGATMACTATGGTGGATCTAAACCTTTAAACTAACAAATAACATGTGAATCCTTCATCTACAATTGTTTTCCTGGCACTGARTTTTAAAATAATGTCATRTGRGARKCCAGGTGTGTTCTGAAGCAGCCATRGCAGAAAAAAATCTGAAAGGGCCAGAACAATGCTGCTGTTTCTAAAAAGGAACTGTTCCCTACATTAGTGTGAGGAACAGGAACTCTGTGTTGCAGTTGTGTAAATTGTTAATGAAGGAAAAAGTGGCATCWTTGGAGCAGTAGCTATTTCTTGTCAATGATATATTAACCCATCAAGAGAAGATGTTTTTAAAATGCTGAAAGATGACTAAATATGGTATAATTGTGCATTAAGGATTTGCTCCTTAACGATGACACATGGTGTTTGTTCTGTTAGTGATGTTCATAAGCACCTTATGAGCTGGACATTGAATCTGAAAGTAAAGACAARTTCTTAGTCACATGTTTGCACATGAGTGGAGTGGCAGGAAGGTGATCAAAGGTCATCAAATGCCCTTCATTTATTGATGGGAGCCTGGTGGAAACATAAAGTTTATTGAGTCCATTTGAGTCCTTGCTCAGGACAAGCTGTCGAGGGGTTGCTCCTGTTGCTGGGTCCCCTTGCTGGTTTGGGTGGGGATATTTTTGGTGCACATGTGGATATTTTTGAACATGTGTGGATATTTTTGAGATGTGGATATTTTTGAACACGTGTGGATATTTTTGAACACGTGTGTGGATATTTGAACACATATGAGGCCCTGGACAGAGGGAGCAGGTCTCTGCTGCCCCTGACTCCCCGTAGCTGCTGCTGCTCAGGACAATTTGCAGTGAATGTTCCTTTAACCTCATCATCTGTGCCTGATCCATTTACCATTCAGCAATTAAACCATACTTTGAACAGAAGCAAAACTGAATTATTTCCCTTGCTCGTTGTTGAAGCCTTGGCAGCAGCACAGRTTTAATTCTGGAATACCTTTTGTTTGTAGGGGGAAGAGTAAAAACATGGAAACGGAGATGGTTTATTCTGACTGATAATTGCCTGTATTACTTTGAATACACAACAGTGAGTAGATATCGTGGTGAATTTTGTTTGTAATCAAGATATATAAGGAGCTAATAATGCGATGTTCTTCTAATTTTTTAGGACAAGGAACCTAGAGGAATTATTCCATTAGAAAATCTTAGCATAAGAGAAGTCGAAGACCCTAGAAAACCAGTAAGACAATTTTATATTTATTTTTTAGTGGAGATAAGTAAACCATATGGAACCTAATTGTACTGTTAAATGAATTTATTTGTCAGTCCTGTGTTGTTTTTTAAAATTGATTGCTTCATTTCTCCCCTCCAGAACTGCTTTGAGCTCTACAACCCCAGTCATAAAGGTCAAGTAATCAAAGCGTGTAAAACTGAAGCTGATGGCAGAGTGGTGGAAGGCAACCACGTCGTGTACAGAATATCTGCTCCCACCCCAGAGGAAAAGGAGGAGTGGATTAAATCCATCAAGTGAGTTTAAAGTCTTAAATGTCTTTCAGAAATGAAGTGTGAGATTTTTTCAGTGTGATACTCAGAGAATTTGTTGTAACTTGTTTGAAGAACTCTGATGTGGCAATGTCCTCTGATTGCCAACTGTGGGGCTGATGGATCAGATACAAATCTCTGTTTCTGTCTGCTCCTGAGGAAATGCTGCTGCTAGCTCTGATGAGGAAAATGTGGATTTATTGCTTTATGCAAATATAAAACCTTGTGCAAATCATCTTTAAACCMAATTCTGTTGGGTTCTTACTTCACCTAATAATGAACTTTATTGTGAGCATCATAAGCATGATACAGGCAGCTTTAAACTTCCACAGCTTGACTTTATCTTGCAAGGTTTATAACAGACCTACACTTAAAGAAATAAATAAGGTCAAGATGTGAAGGTATGAACTCTTCAATCACAGCTGAATAGTATCTTTTGCTAAAAAAATATTCGTGGTGCTTAGAAGCCATCCATCTTAYTGAGAGTGTGGAGTCATCCACGAGGAAGAGAGAACAAAAGTTTTAGTTTTCTAAAGCAGGTATTTGTTAAACAAACAGATGATTCCTTTTTTCTGTTGCAGAGCAAGTATCAGCAGGGATCCCTTTTATGATATGCTGGCAACAAGGAAACGGAGAATTGCAAATAAGAAATAGAACATGATCAGCAACTTGCAGACCTGCATCAACCTCCAGTGGAGTGATGGAAGAAATGGGACAAACTAAATGAAGACAACTGTAAATTTTATATATATATATACATATATATATGCACATTTTACTATGGCATAAAAACTTGGCAAAACGTTTCAGGGTAAATAGTTACTGRCATATAATTCCAAGTAAGCTTCAAATCCCAGAGAGTGATTCTGTTGGAACTGAATTCAGCTGCAAACATGGAAGCCTTTTCACATCAGTGACAACTCTGCTTCACTTGGGTTGGGGAGGGAAGGAGTTCAGGGCTAACACTAAAATATCCTCTACCTGAGCATATTTCTATTGAAGAATGAGTGATAATAAGACTTTGAGCTCTCACTAAAGTGCAGCACGGTGTGATCTGGCATTTCATGTTCCTGTGAGCAGCATCCCCAGTCCCATGTCAGTGTTCAGTGTGTCACAGCAGCAGCTGAGTGCAGCTTCCATTCAGGATTCCTCTCATTCCTGCCTTTATGGAAACAGCTTTTCCTCACAAACCCAGAGCTGCCAGCTCCCCAAAGGTGTGCTGGAAGGGTTTGGCAGTGACACTGAGACACCAGGCTGCAGCCATGACTTGGCTAAAACCCATCCCTTCTGCTCTTACAACAAACATGGGTTTAATCCACTTTTTAAACAGTAAAGTCCTCCTTAGTTTTGAGATGGTGTTGTTTGATTCACACTAAATTACTGCTTAAGGGGAGAGAGGACAGGACTTGTGTGATTTTAGACCTTGCATGTGAAAACAGCCCAAAATAATTTCACATGCATTTCATGCTTTTAAAGGGGAAATCCAGGAAGGTGAACTGTGTGTAAGATGCAGCTCAGAGAGTTAAGCAAGCAGGATTCATTCCTTTGCTTGATAACAAACTTTGGACATGCAGAGTTCCTGCAAGTTCACACAAGTTCAGTATTTTTATTGCATTCTTAAAGGTGATTTTCAGACTTGTGCTTCAGCTGTTGAAATTGAAAAAAAACTAAATAGACATTTTTACTTAAAAACTAAAATACTCCACATTGGTCACCCAGTGCAGGCAGACTTCCCCACAGGCACTGTGTCCCTGTTTCTGTAACTCGTGGAGGATCTTTCTGTGGCCCTGCTGATGGTTTTAGGAGCACATCACTCTCAGCAGATTCTGCTCCAGAGCTTTTCTGTTGGTAGCACATGGACTGTTCTAAGGTAAAGCCCCTGATTCCACAGTGGGGGCACAAAGTGGGAGGTTTTGACTCCACTSTTGTGTTACTCCTCAGTTTTCCCTGATTTTGTTGAACCTGAGCCGTGCCTGCTGTGCCAGTGAACACTTTGGAGACACAAAATGTTCAAGAGCTTTGCTGTTGGTTACAGGAGCATCTCTGGATATTTTGTAGGGAGATGTGCTGCACTGGCAAACCCCCAGACTTAACCTGATCAGTTTGAAATCTCCTTTGAACTGTAAGGGGGAGTATTTCACTGTTCTGTCCTACTGATTTGCCTGGTTTTGCATGGGGTGTCAGCTCTGAGTGTTTTGCTTTATTGCATGTTTGCAAAAGAGGCCCAGAGGAGAAGAACAAAGTCAACTTTCTTACATTGCAGATTTTCCCCAGAGTGTGTGGAATTGTTTGGGTGAATGTTCCAATCCCAGTGCTTCCAAGGGAGTCAAACTCAGCCAAAGGAGGTGGAATCCTTGAATAGGTGTGAGTGTGGGGATCCCTTTGCTTAATGAACACATTTAAACTCTGCAGAAATGAATTCAGTCGTGTGTCCTGTGTTTGCACAGCAGCACAATGATGGAGCTGCTGCCAGCACTTGTTTTCAGTCTCTGCTCTGCAGTGACATTTTSTTTCCAAGCACTGCCTCCATCAGTCTTGGCTTTGGACAGCAGATTTGTAATTCAAATAGTGACAAACCAAATCAGTGGTACTAGTGAGCATAAAGGCCAAAGGCAGCAAATGCAGTATTTCTGGAGAAATGTGAGATTACAAAAGCATTCATAAGCCATGAAGCACTTTTGTGTCAATTCTTATCTTCTGAAATACCACCTTGGAGGAAATCTATTTATTTMAGCAGGTGAGGATGTCTGCCTCTAAGCATGAAGGAAATGCCTTGAGAGTTCATTTGCTGTATTTAGTTTGAAGTTCTTATATCYGGCAGAAATAATTATTTAGAGTAACATGTAACTGAGGTTATTATAGCAGGAAATATATCATTTCTAAGCATTGAAATGCAACATCTTAAACAGCTACTTGTGGTGCTCAATGTATTTAATTTACCAAAGCTAATGAATAGCATTTTTGTGTGTGTTAATATTTTGATTTCAGATGTTCTTTGTAACAGTATTAACAGGGAGTGAAACTGGCCCAGAATTTCCACTGGCCACGAGGCCAGTAAAACAAAGTGGCTTGTGAAAATTTTGGCCGTTATCAGGTACTATCCACGAGGGTGAAGAAAAATCTCTCAACCTTTCCCTTTTCTATTGGGCTTCAAGTCCAGGGGTGGCTGCTGCAAGTGGCTGCTCGGTGGCCTAAAGCAGATCTGTTACAGTTTGGCCATGCTGAGGAATGTCCTCTGGGACAGCAGATTCTCCCTTCTGCTGCACTGGAAATTGAGAAATTCTGAGTTTTTGGGTTTGGCACTGCCTTTCCCAAGTGCAGACAGAGCCATGGGCCAGTGCAGCTCAGAGGGAACTGTACACAGAACTTAAGCTCAGCTGGACTGACTTAAATTTTACAATATTCTGACTAAATAAGCTCTGTGTCAYTTAACATTTTGAACCGTTTTAAACTGGTACAAAACTGAACCTTTATAAACTGAGCAGCATTTATAATGCTTCATATATAAAAAACTGCATATTTTTAAGATTTATTACATATCTATGTAGATATGCTTGCTGGAAAAGCTAGGTCTGTTGTAGACCAAATGCTACAAAATAAGACTTGTGGCTTACCAGTTTCATTTCTATATTTTCTTGGAAAATGTTTCTAGCTAGAGTTTAAATATAAAATGTAAATAGTGTACAGGTATGTATTGATATGAGTATTACTTGGTGTACACAAGTGATATGCATGACAAATATTCTGTATCAATCATTGTTAAACGGTGATGTTCTTACGTAAAGCCACTGCAATGTTCATGTTCTCATTTATCATYAAGACTGTTGCTTCAATCTGTCAATTTTCTCAGAAATAAAGTGTGAAACTGTACTGTCACAAATCTCATTTCCCAGGAATACATGGGAGGCAACTGCTGATTCTTAAGGTTTAATTTTACAACTGCTCCTGTAAGTAAAAGGCCTCTTTTACCTACTCTTTGGCAGAGTAATATAAATTATCAGGTTTATTTTTTCAGAGGAAAAATAGGTTTTCAGATACAAAATAGGTTTGTTTCAGTGGAGTGTGACTACAGTAGGAGTTGGTTTCCCTTGAGAGCCACCCTAAATTGCGGTTTTTATTTTGTCACTTCCCTGCCACGAGTTGCAGTCAGGTGTGAGGGGGGAAGTGGATCTCTGCTCTTACAGATTAATTGGTTTCCTCAATTAGCACTGAAAATCAGGAGCTGCTGCTGCCCCGCTCTGAGCAGCTCTGGAGGGAGGAATTCAACACAAACTCCTGCGAGAGCTCAGGGCTGGAATCACTCAGAAAAGGACAAACACAAATCATGGAGCCAGAGCCCAAAGGAGGAAAAAAAACCCAGATACGGCCAGGAATGTTGGTTACTTTGCCATGTTACTTTATGTAACGTCACAGAACTGTTGCCATAGGAACATTTCCAGGTACATCACGGTTTGCCTTTGCTGTTCCCCATCTACCGAAGGATCACTTTGAACTATTGACCCAAACATTCACTTTGCTCTTTTTTTTGCCCATTTTTTTTTGTCACACCGGGTCCCAAGCTCCTGCTGAGCTGCCAGCCTGGCTGTGGAGGTTTTTCAGTTCTTTGAAAATCCTGGTGTAGCAGTTGCAGTCCTGCTCTCCTCTGTTCCAGCAGCATCTTCTCGCCGTGACTCCTCGAGTGTCAGCTCCCATGACACAGTGCATGTTCAAGAACTCAAGTAAAACTCAAGTAAAACTCAAGTAAAACTCCATTTGAACTTTGCTGTATTTATATACTATATAAATTTTACATGCTATATATTTACAGTGGGGCAAGTGCTTTTTTTATCTTTAAAAAAACAAAGATCAAACTTTAGACATCTCTGAACAACACAGCTTGTATAAACCAGACAGATTATTCAGATGAACTGTATTTAATACAGGTTCCCCACTCATCTCCTGATGCAGGACCAGTGAATAATAAGTGCATCACAGTTTGATAGCATTTAATAATAAAAATAAAAATCACAGTATGAATTTGTCTGTAACTAGACACTTTAGAGAGACAAAACAGACAACTGAGACTTAAGACAAATGACAGTATATTAAGAAAATGTAATAAAAACATATGGAACAATATACAAATAGTCTTGAGAGATACATTCAGAACTGCATATTCGTTGTTTCACTATGTCGAAAACCAGAAGATTTTCTTCAGATCTTGAACATAACTCAAATGTGAAGTAAATTAGTTTCTAGTGTCAGACCACAGAAAAAAAAAAATGAAGCTCTTGCAAAACTTGTGAAGTTTTAAATAAGTCTTTAAATTAAATATACAGACTGTCAGTTGCAACTTTTATAATTCCTGGTCGCTCTTGCACCAGATGTCTTTAACTTGGAGTAACATTACATGAATAACATAAAGTCAACCTGAGTCTGTAATTAAGCAGCATTTGAGATGGTCTATTCCAGGGCATTATCTCAGCTCACTGAGATATTTATGTGGTAATTTACAATGTTCAGCAGTTGTAAAAAGTTTTCACCCTTTTGGATTAGAAGTACATTTTACAAAAGAAAGTCTCAAGTTAAAAACTAAAAAAAAGTTCTTATATGGTAAAATTCTGTACAGAAATGTTAAGCACCACTTATGACTGGATTTTGTCTCGATGGTAATTGATAATAAATTGTAAGTTTTGATGGTCAATACTGGTAATGTCAGGTTTGAAGGTGAGAAGTCGTTGGTTTTGATGATGAGAAGTCGTTGTTTTGAAGGTGAAGGTTGGTGGGGTTGTGGTGGGTTCAGTCTGAGTATTGAAGGCTTTCATCACTCAGCTCCACATCTGAAAGGCAAAAGGAAAAAAGGTCAGTCCCTGTCAGACATGGAACACAAATCTGGCTCTCAGGGGCCTCATTTCACAAAGACACAGCTCAAAGCTGCTCCATCTGCTCCCTCAGTGAGGATCCCAGTCCAGGAAAAGGGGCTGAACTGGGCAGAGCCTCAGGACAGAGCCACCTGCTCCAACAGCGAGGCTGCACCTTGCCTAAATCAAAGTTAATTCAAGTTTGGCCTTGAGAGCAGCATTGTTTTAATAACAACCTTGTGGTCAGGCTGACCAAATCCTAACCAGGGAGGCAGAGCCTTCAGAAACTCAGAACAGAGGAAAGAACTGCTTCAAAGCTGCTCCTTCCCCATCCTGTACGAAATTTTGTTAAATCACAATTACCACTGTCTTCATCCTTATTAATTTATCCAAAATAGCAGGAGTTGTGGTGAAAATGCACATCCTCACAGCTCCTTCTCAGTGATTCTTCACCTTGTCTGAGAGGTTCAGTGCTCTCTAAAAACACAGCCTCAGTGGCCTCTTTTGAAACCAACTTTCATTGYTCAGAGAATCCTGAGACCCATTTAAACAAAACCAGGCTGACCTTCCAGAAGATGGAGCCAATTAACATCCACGGACTTGATGAAATACTAAAATTCTCACAACTTGGAATAACCTCACTGCTTTGGGAAACCCAATTTTGCCATCTGCTGGCCACACAATCACCACTGAGCACAGCATTTCATTCTCCTCAATGCCTGATTTGTCAGCTATAAGGGTTATTTTGATATGAGTATCATAAAAAGAATGTTTTTACAATGGCAGGATTTGAAAGGCCTCAATTGAGTTCTTCCTAAATTTTCCTYCTTAAAGAATAATGGGTCAACAGTCACTTTTCCCTCCACTCTGCATTTTTAGACAGAGCTTTGGGTTGTCTCTTCCCTGAGCAAACTTTTCAGTGCAACAATCTCCTGACTGTGGCAATTTGCCTCAATGGGGAAACCTCACAAAAAAGATTTTCATTTTCCAGAATTTCAAGATTAAACTTCCTCAAACAGCAAAATGCATTCCACTGTAATGCAGGAAGAGGAATTCTTTTGTTTTCTGTGCTATAATGACATTTTTAGTGAGCTGTCTTCTTCAAGGATTAATTCAGCTGTCTTTGAGTAAAATAGCTAGAACAATCCTCCCTGTTTTTTTCTTTTCTTAAAATAGATGAGTAACTGGAACTGGCTGATGTCAGGTACTTAATAAGATTTTATTTCTACAATAAACACTTCTGTTCGGAAAAAAATTTCATGGGAAATGTTGTCAAGTTTGATTTTAGGTGTTGAATTTGTTTCAGTGTGCAATCATYTTCATTGCATAACTCTAGAGCTAATTAATTTAAACTAATTAATTTATCTGCTGTGAGCCCAAGTTGAAATTATGACAAGCAACAGCTGAGAGCTCAGTGTAAATTCAGTCAGGCACACAAATTTGTATTCAGGTTTTTTGTAAAAAACATCAACAGACCTTTTTAAATATTAAAAAACAGGGAAGAGCTGTTTCCTCAGCCCACTTTTGTGCATTGTTAAACCATATTAACAGAAAAACCCCACAGCTGAATAAAATAAAGCAGGATTTTTACACTCTCCAGGTGTGAAAT